AGACCGCCCCTGTCCACGGGGGGGAGCGGGGAGCCTGTGAAACTGGCTGCTGAGCTGTGATGCCAACACCCCTGATCTGGGCACCGGGGCCTTTCATTTTCCTAGAGATCCCCAGGCACCTTATTAGAATCGCGCCAGATCTGGACCCTTCCCTGCCTGAGGCCCCTGCGCCCCTCTCAGCTGGGCAGCCCAGGCTTGTTCAGCGGGGCAGGGCGGTAGCAGAGACTTGAGGGCTCATCAGCGCGTCCGAGGACGTGTGATGCCAACACCCCTGATCTGGGCACCGGGGCCTTTCATTTTCCTAGAGATCCCCAGGCACCTTATTAGAATCGCGCCAGATCTGGACCCTTCCCTGCCTGAGGCCCCTGCGCCCCTCTCAGCTGGGCAGCCCAGGCTTGTTCAGCGGGGCAGGGCGGTAGCAGAGACTTGAGGGCTCATCAGCGCGTCCGAGGACGGGGGTTTGCCCTGAAAGCTCGTGATCCCACCTAGAGAGCTGAACACACTTTAGAACAACGCCTGGTCCCGCAGCACCTTAGAGACTCACAATGGGGGGGGGCTGGGCGTTCGGATGACTGGAGCCAGGGGCCCAGGGGACAGGCCAGTAGCGGAGAGGGGATGGGGAGGCAGAGAAGGAGAAAATCTAGTGGGAGTGTCCGTGCTGCATGCGGCTGCGCGTGGGCTTTGGGCCGGGGGCTGTCCTGGCCCATCTTTGTTCAGTCTCACTTCCAGGTGTCAGACTTGTAAGTGAAACCAAGTTCTGCAGCGTCTCTCTCCAGCTGGTTTGGAAATTGCCTCAGTTGTCACCCCCAGAGCCCGCAGGGGCGCCCGGGCAAGTGAAAACGCCCCCAGCAGGCTTCTTGTGTCACCATTTCGAGTATCCGATTTGTGTCCGGGAATCCCTTGTCACAGAGACTGTCCGGTTTGGCCAGTGTCCATGGCCGAGGGGCACTGCTGGCACGTGCTGGCAGAGATCACGCTGGGGGACGTGCAGGTGTATGAGCCCTGGTGTGGCTAGGTCCTGCGCTGGTGTCGCTGGTGTCGCTGTGTGGGCAGAGTGGGCACCGGGGCTGCTTGCAGGAGCAGGTTCCTGGGTGAGTGTCTGGGGGCTGATACGTGGTTGCTGGACAGAACTCGTTGGAGGCTGTAGGCGAGGGTTGGCCTGTGCCCCAGGGCCTGTGAGAAGGCAGGATCGTTACTAGGCTGTAGATCGTTAACAATGCGCCAGAGGGGCTGGGTCGGGGGCTGCAGGTGGTGCCCAGGGGGGTCCTGTTCTCTTCCTGGTTTCATAGACTCCTAGAACACTAGAATGGGAAGGGACCTCGAGAGGCACGTGTGACGGACCGGGCCGTGTCTGGGCACAGCTTAGGGCGTCCGCTCAGGGCGAATTGCTCGAATCCGGGGCTCCTTACAGCCCCCGACTGGTGACCTCTCCACACAGGCCACAAACCAGTCCCACAGAGCGCTTCAGCTTTGTGAACACTCGGGGAGCTGCCCCCGGTCCTGGCTGGGCCCCGCTCCCTGGCCTGTCTGCCTGCCCCAGTCCACTTGCCCCCGGGCCCAGCCCTGC